AGAAAAATCAAATATAAACATAAATAAATTAATAAAATTAAATTAAATTAAAAACCAAAAATAATTTAAAAAATTAAAAAAAAAAATTCTTCCCAAACACAATCTTGCCAAGATTGGTAGCCTGTCAAATTTGATAAAATATTAATCTACTATGTCTGTTTTTGCTACAGTTAAACCTCCATAAGTGCATTGCGTACAAATCAGCTTCAATCATGTATTTAAAGAGATTCGCATTTAGAGAAAGCCAATCAAATTGTAGCTTTTAATATTTGATCTGCAGGCTTGTGTAATACAATTTGAATATTGAATTCTGATTGGCTACATACATTTAGGGGTTGGTATAATATAGAAAATCTTTTGAGTGAATGTGCATTTGCAAAATATAGAACGTATATTTAGCACTAATAATTTTTTATAGCCAGGCCAGAAATATGCATTTAGAGAGGTATTGCATTTAGAGAAGTATTGCATTTATGGAGGTTGCATTTATGGAGGTTTGATTGTATATAAATCTTATGTTTTATAATATTTTCAAATCTGATAATCTCTTATTACTTTTTTTTTTTTTTTTTTTAACCTTTGGCAATCTTGCCTTTATTATATTAGGAGTGCGTAATCTAAATACATAGTTTTGGAACAAAAAGCTTGCAATAAACTCAATATTTTCTACTCTTCTACTTTTTAATAAAGACTCACTCAGCTGCTCGTAATAGTGCCCAAGTGTGATCTGCCGCAACAATAATTCATTTATCTCCGGCATCTAACTTGCTAGATGGCTCCCTGAAAAAATCACTATAAGCATACTGCTAGCTTTGTCAAGATTGCCTTTTCTTTAATATTTTTTCTTCTTCAAAAGAGCAAAGTAAATGAAGAAAATAAAAACAACAAAAACAAAAATAAAATGAATACAACAAAAAAAACAAGTGAAAAAAAAAAAAAAAAAAAAAAAAAAAAAAAAAAAAAAAAAAAAAAGAAAATAAAAAAAAAAAAAAAAAAAAAAAAAAAAAAAAAAAATCATGAATAACTTCTATTGCGCATTTTACATATTTACCATATTTTTAAATATCATCTTGTGTGGAGATTCTACCTAAAACAAAACAAACAAAAAAATAATAATAATAATAAAAAATAAAAATAAAAAAAAAAACGAAAAAAAAAAACAAAAACGCATCACATACATATTTTAAGCCTCATGTTCGAAAAGTACGTATCAACCATTTTTACACATGTCAATTTGTAGATTTCATTTCTTCATGAGAAATTAATTGGAAGTGCACTTTTAATTTTAAAGCCTGCTTCTGTGAATCTATTGTTTTATCTGCACATATTATGTGTGTTGATAAATTGGTATTTAGTATCATTGTCTATAATTTTGTATTTAATATAAAGGTAAAAATCATCTTTCATTTTAAAACTTTCAAGGTGTTGAGTTTGTGTAGATGTTTATCCCAGAGTTCTCTTACTTTAGATTTATATTTTAAAATTATTCATTCTTTTCTTTATTTTTTATATAATCATGAAAAAAAAACAAAGGGATAAACTTCCCATCGTAAGACAGAAAGTAACTGTCGCCTGTAGCTGTTGTAGAAAGAGAAGGTCTAAGTGCTCCGGACCTCCTATTTGTCTGAGGTGTAAGGAGCACGGCCTTAAATGTGAGTTTATTACTCCGAGCAGTAAACGTGGCCCCCCTAAGGGGGTCCCAAAAAAAAATTCGCAGCAAGAACTTTCGAACAAAAGTGATACTCTAATTCAAACAGAGGGTAAGAACTTAATAAGCTATCTTTTTATGTGAAGGGTTTCTTTTTTTTACTAATTAAATTCTATTTATCACCCGAAACGGCAGAGTTTAACATAACGCCAAATTATTCACCAGACATACCTAATTCATTCGTTCGGCACCAATCGATAATGCCAGTAAGTAACTGACTTCTGTGTAAATAATTTTCATGAGTTGACCGATATTAGGCTCTATGAAAAAATTTAAAATTTATTTGAATTCTGCAAATTTATGTGATATAATTGGGCTTTGTCCAACCAAATCCAATTAGATCACTGTGCGCTTAATATAATTCCGTATATTTAAATCAATTTCAAAAGTTTGAATCTCAATTAATATTTATTAATATTTATTAATATTTATTAATATTATTAAAAATGTTTGAATATTTGATTTTCAAATAATTTCAAATAATTTCAAATATTTTAAGCTTTAACAATCAATGTCTTAATACTTTCTAAAACTTTGACCCAAGATATCTCGCAATCACTTGACCAAACTCGATGAAAATTTTTTATTTAAATTTTACCAATCTGTAAAATTCAATTAAAAAAATTTTCTTCGAGTTTTATCACGTGATTGTCGCGATCAAGTTTTTAGAAAATATTAAGACATTTGTTAAATCTTAAAATATTTGAACTTCAATTATTTAAATATTTTAAATATTTTAAATATTATTTGAATTTCATGCTTTGGTTTTTATTTATAATATACTGAATTTCGTAATTATACCAAATATTTCGAATAATTCACAGGCCAGGTCTTAAAAGTTTTTTCTGTTCAGTTTAATTAAAACATAATAATATCTTCGATTTAAGATACAGCAATCACACTACCCCCCATTCATATCGTATGAAGATGGATACAATTATATTTATGCGACAAATGATCATGGTAATCGATATTTAGATATATATATTCCTATTTTTTTCTATTTATTCGCCAGTAATTAATTCTCTCTATTTTGTAGAAGTTATTAAGCTTGATATTTCGACCATGCGTTTATACAATAATCCTACTTAAAATACTCGTTAATTTTTGGCTCGATTTAGTTTTGTTTATCGTTCGTTATCATCGGCTGTTTGCAATTTCGGTCTATTTTTTTATGCTCTAAAAATTCCATTTATTAAGCCCGCGAATCATCATTCCAATATATGCCTATGAAACTGTTGGCTTCTTAAAATATGCTTAAGATATATATAAGATCAAAATTATGTAATTTTTCAATAAAAATTTATGTATAAAATTTTCCCGGGAACTTCTTAGCATATATTGTAGTTATTATGTGTACATTCCCCTGACATAAATCACCGCATTTTTCCAGTAACAACATGTCGATTTTTTTTTTCGTGAATTCTTGGAAACTTATATAAGTGCTGCCAAGGGAAAAGGGCTACTTTAGATTTTATTCAAAATTTTTTGATCAAAGATATCTCAACAACTATTTGATCAAATTTGATAATGATTTTTTTATTTAAATTCTACAATTTTGTAAAATTCAAATAAAAAATTATTACTTTTAATCAAGTAGTTGTTAAGATATCTTTGATCAAAAAAAATTTAATAAAGTCTAAAGTAGCTTTTTTCTCTTGGCAGTACAATTTTTTTTATTTAACAACCATATACTGTATGTAAAAATTATTTAATTTTTTCTATATATGAAAATATATTACAGTATATTGGTATATTTTTACTTTATATTTTTAAATTTTGAGAAAAGAATACTTAATTCTGAATTTTTAAACAAATATTCCAAAATTAAGCATTTTTTTTTACTTAAAATTTAAAATTATAAAAATAAACATATGGGGTCTTTGCCTTGAAAATAGGGTTCCGAGGTCCCCAAACCAAAATTAAGATTTTTGCTAAATCTTAATTTATAAAACATAAAGCTCATTTTGTGCAAAATTTTAAAACTAGTTAACTTAATATTAAACCAAGTTATGGAAGTTTGAAAATTTGACTGAAAATTTTTTTGAATATCTAAAAATAGAATGGCAATGATTTACTATAACAGATACTATCAATTTTGCATGAGGCATTGTTACACAGATCAATTTTTATCCAATAATAAAGAATTTTGTGAAAATAATATCTAAAATTAGCAGAAAATCAAGTTTTGATTGTTTGGGTGACACAATCTTTATTTACTGTTTACTCAAAAAAAATTTATAGTGCTGTAGAGTTATTTTCAAGAATAATAGTATTTTTTATAAATTTGTTAATAAAATTATAAAAAATATTAAAATTCTTAAATTTTACCAATTAATTTTTTTTTTTTTTTGTACTCTTGGGTTTGTGAAATTTTATTAAGTAGTCTATCCAAAAATTCTATACTATCTGCTATATCTATAACCCAAACTATAGGGGTTATCTATTTAAACTCTCTGATTGTAATCTAATTTCAAGCCAATAAAGACTTCTAACCTAATAAGGCCGAGTATTATATACCCAAGCAGTATATTAATAGATTTATTAGCCTATTTTAGAACTTACTAATTTAAGCTAGTTTATTCTTAAAATAATTATAACAAAGTGATATATATCTTATATATATATTTACTTGCTTGTTTTGTAACTTAGTGTAGTAGTGATCTATGACGGTACCACAAGAGGGCTGAATTCAAACCAGGGCCCGAGATCAGAGAAC